ACTAGAGAAAATTAGTCGAAAAAGAAAAATAATCTAGAAAATATTATTTAAAGAAGACCCAGAAAGGGTTAGATGTGCACATAAGAAATAAGTTAAAGAGTGAAGGAAAGTCTATACCAAGGCGGCTAAGTTATGGCAGCGAAAGCCCAAGAAAAATCCAGTAAGATTTTTATACAAGCATATACATGGGGTGATTCTCGTGTATTAGGATGGCAAAAGATAGCCTTACAGGTAGGGTTGCCAACCGTTCCGTATAATACAGGATCGTTCCGTATTTGTCACATAAAAGTCTTGCTCCGTATTGAACTGATACGGAACGCACTTTGTTCTGTATTTTTGAGAATCAGTTCGGTGCAAATCCATGACAGACACATCTTCTAATATATCTCAGACAGACTATGAATGAAGACCTCACCAGTTGAGCCACTCCACTCGTGATCGACTAGTTTTACCGCAAATTAGTTAAAATATCCTCTAATCTAGAGCGATCGTGCCTGCAAGCTTGAGCTTCTAACGGCGCGGACGCAAAACCAGGACTGGAGTCAGAGCACATTCCTCTCTGCACTCTAAGCTAGTGTTTCCCAACCCTGTTCCTGGCAGCACACCAACACAGCGCGTATTCTTTGTCTCCATAATCAAACACCTGATTCAACTCATCAGCTCATTAACCCATCTGATTATGAGCTGATGCTATATGCTCTAAGCGTTCTGTTATCACTCCGATTTCGTCCACTACGGGTTTTCCAGTCTCACAGGAAAAACTGTTCCACGTTCAATCGATTTTAAAAGATAATCTTATGTTTTACTGACTGTTCCCCCGCAAGATTTTTTTTTTTTTTTTTTTACATTTTAAGGTTAAATGCATCAGATCAGATCAAAATTAAGAGCTTATTTATTACTTATTATACTGATCGATTGAGTGACCGAGGACTCAAGACATGATATGTGCAACGTTCTGAGGAAACTATTTTGCAAATCGCAATTACGTTACATGGCAACATATAAGCAGTGCTATTGCTTTGGTCCTTAACCTAATATGTCTCATTGTTAATACGTAGGTATTAATACGTTATTTTTATACATAGTTGCATATGTAATGGAGAAGTTAGCTTGTTGCATTTGGGTAATAATAAAGACACAAGGTTTTAGAATATGAACACATGAACACACAAGGTTTTAGAATATGAACACATGTAAACACAAGGTTTTAGAATATTTCAGCGTGATACCATTTACCATTTGGTCAAAAGGCTACTTTAGACAAATTGAGATGTTTACCGTGTCTATGCTGTGCATGACTTGTGCCAGGGCTAGCATTGCTAGGAGCTTGCATTAACTTTTACTAGTGATTTTAAATGGATTTCTCCAAATAGCATGACAAACTTTACCTGTCTAGTAGAATCTTCGCGACTGCGGCATCAGTGAGAAGCCCAACCTGTGCTTTTAGCGCACGCCAGCGTGTGATATCACCCGAAATAACTCTGGTCTTGTTTCTATTTTCTGCAGCCTTTCTCTTCTTATCATACACTTCGTATACATTTTTTCTCTTTCGACCCTCAGCCATTTTCAAAGGAATGGCTGAAACCGTAACTCTGACATAATACACCTGAAAGTGAAAACTACATAGGGATGAGCACGTACGACGGCCTTACGTAAACATATCACCAGAATGATTGACACTTAGGTGGACCAATAGTATAGACTACCCACCCGGAAAAAGAAAATCCTCCGCTATACCTTTAATGACTAATATAAATCAAGAAGAACTAGAAAACATTCTTAAAAAAATGGAAGGTAAAAACCAGGCAGGACCCTCTCAGCCATCTGCTCCGCATTGGAATGTGCCTGCATTGGAGAGAAACAAACAACAGGGCGAGACAGAGTCCGAGGTTGAATCTGAGGTGTCAAAGTTTGCATACGACTCAGTCATGTCAGATTCTTCATCATCCTGTGCAGATAGTGAATGTAGCAAAACAGAAAATATTAACAAAAGAGCTAGACTGAGGAATAAGAGAGGAAGCCGGATTGAATTAAAACGAGTGTCACACCAAATAGAAAATGACTGGCCTGAAGTTAATTTAAGAGGGATTAAATACAAAAATCCTACTAATGAGCCACGTGGTAGAACATTAACAAAAAACTGGGACCGGAAAATAGTCAAAAATAGAAGCTTGACTTACGGACAACTGAAGTCAGCAAGCCGCTCCCCATCTGCCCACAGAATTGCTCGGACAGACGGATGGTCTAAAACAGGGAAGCAAATATTGTATCAAGAAGAATATGAATATAATAGGAAAGTAGTTAAAGAATTATATCAAGTGGTAATGTCACTAAAATCAGAAAATGAAAGTCTGTCAAAAGAAATGGAAATGTTAAAATGTAGGAAAACAATAAGAAGGAATGAAAGGTCTGAGGAGGAGGAAGACTGGGAGGGAGAAGTCACAGAGCCTAGAAAAACAGTTAGAATTAGGCCAGCAACTCCTGGATTTACAACTTCGTTCAGACAACTAGGATTTACAACTCTTCAAGAAGTGGAGGAGAGTCAGACTAGCGTACAAGCGAAGTTGCTAGAATTACAGCTTACAGAAGCAGTAAGAAAGCAAGTAGGAGGAAAAAAAAAATGCGTGAAGATCCGAGTGCATATGCAGATCGGATAATGAAAGCAGCAACAACTGCACAGCTCAGTGCAGAGTCACTGCACAGAGTCGGGATGCCGCTACAAGGCTAGTACAAACTTGCACTGGTCATCCTATCTCGGCGGAGGCATTAGGGAGAATGAGGAATCTAATAGGTATAGAAGCCAAATTCAAAGAATGGGAAAAAACCCTCATTAATGCCCAAAAAGAGCAGATTCCTTTATTAGGAATTTGGTTATCTATTGAACAGGAGATTCCTGATGGTGAGAAAGTTCCACTGTTAAAGGTACATAGTCAACCGTTCTCTGAGATTTGTTTTCATGATAATGGAATGTAAAGAGTTTTATCTCTAAAAACTGTTTAGCGTATAATGCTAGTAATGGGGGCATTGAGTAAATAAAAAGAAATCGCTAGTTTATACCACTAACAAGGCTCAAAATAGCCCCACACTAACACAGTAACATAATGAGGCTCCATACATGCAAAACGAAGCATTGAGAACTTTGTAAGTGTACAGACCGTTTAATAAGAACTTACTTTATGAAGACAGTTCACTTCGTGTATACAGACAGGAGCCATCTTAAAAAATAGTCTCGATAAGTCGAACGCCGTTCATGCACATAGACATATACACTAGACCTCAGCTTGGCTACGGCAGTTCAATGGAAGGAATGCGTCAATAGAGCCGCCATCTTGAAACAGGGGAGCCCCTCCACTTTAATGCATCAGCATCAATGTAGTAGACACAGGTCTAACGGAAATAAAATCACCATAAATCATTATAAATGAGATTTTTCTTGTTTTTTTTTGGTTTGTTCCAACGGTCAGAAATGTATTTATCATTGATTCCAGAAAGAATTATTATTTTTTTTAAACATTCTTCCTAGTTCAGATTTCATCCGTGAACATCATACGCTGCACAAAAGTCCACCACCATCAATGAATTCGAAGTAAAGGCAGAGATAGCAGCGTTACCTAGCTACTTCCTATGACAAGACCCCTGTTCCAAGATGGCGATGGTTTTGACGCATGTTTAGAACCCCAAAGTGAGGTCTAGTGTATATGTCTATGGTTCATACAGTTCAGAAGTTCGCTGAACTTCATAGAGTTCAGATCACTCAGCACGACGTTCGTGGTTTGACTTAGCGAGACTATTTTTTAAGATGGCTCCTGTCTGTATACACGAAGTGAACTGTCTTCATAAAGTATCTTCTTATTAAACGGTCTGTACACTTACAAAGTTCTCAATGCTTCGTTTTGTATGTATGGAGCCTCATTATGTTACTGCGTTAATGTGGGGCTATTTTGAGCCTTGTTAGTGGTATAAACTAGCGATTTCTTTTTACTTAGTCAATGCCCCCATTACTAGCATTATACGCTAAACAGTTTTTAGAGATAAAACTCTTTACATTCGATTATCATGAAAACAAATCTCAGAGAACGGTTGACAATGTACCGATGTTTTATTAGACCAAAGGTTCATTGTTCGCCGGAGTTCTCCTTTAAGACAAGTAGGAAGAAAGATTCCAGGCGGACACGGTTTAGTCACACTGTTAAACAATGCTACCAGGGAAAAGAAGAAATAGAAGAAAAATTAGCGGAATATGATCTAAAGAAAATGGCACTGCAAAATAAACAGAATCAAGGGATACAGATCAAAAAGAAATTTAAAAATAATAGATTTCAATTAAATAAACAAGTGGGTTTTAAAAAGTATGAAAAGATTCCAGAGTGAAACAAAGACAGTAAATAAGTTTTCTGGAAATAGGCAGAATTTTAAAACAGCAAAGAAAGCGATGTATGATAAACCAGGGATGAAAAAGAACACGGGAACCCCTCAAAAGAAAGGATTTATTTCAGCAGAAAAGTGGGACGATATGACTCCAGCAGAGAGAAGTAAAGTAATAGAAGACCGTAAGAACAAAACAGAAAACACAAGGAAAATTAGGAGAAATAAAGTAGTTAAAAAGACAGAGAAGCGCTCGCAATCTAAAAAGGAGAGCGTAGACAAAGCAGTTAAGAAGGAGAAAATCGACTCTGATACAGAATGAAAATTAGCCGGCCAGCTGAAAGAAAGACTTTTGTAACCCTAGAGCAGGGGTCTCAAACTCAAATTGGCTGGGGGCCACTGCCATTTTATCATTCAAACACAAGAAAGCGCAATTTTTGTTTCTGGAAATTTATTTCACTTGCTGAAATGTTAGCTCTCATTCATTTCAGATTATGTAACTAACATATTTGTGTCATTCCTAACAAAAAAATGTAAACATCAGTATATTAAACAGATATATTTAACAATATATAATATTTTTAAGTTAGTGCAATTCTTTTTCCCTTACTTTAACTTAAATAACTTCAAAACATTGTACTGAACTAAACCTTGCAGTGAATACAATTCCTGAATACATTTGCACACTATCACTATTCTATTTCTTGCCAGAAACTTGGCAGCGCTTTTGCTCACACAACTGAGCCACGTTTGCCCTGATGGAGGTCACAGTTGAAACCCTGAGTACAGCTTCAAGATGGGCGTGACTAAGTTTAGACCTGTACTTGGATTTATTGAAGTTCATAGTTGAGAACAATTTCTCACACAGATATGTGCTTCCAAAAAGGCACATTACCCGACTGAACACTTTGGACAGCTCTGGGTAGCATGGAGGTAACTCTTTAAAAAACTGTCCAGTCTTTTCTGTTTTTCCCTGTGCCTCTCTGAATTTAGTTTTTAGCTCACTGTTGCACTGCAAGTCAATAAGCTCCATTTGCAACACACTTGGGACACTCTCCACGTCAGCTGAGAAGGGATCTGCGAACAGCTCAAAAGTGTCACGGTGTGACTTGAAGTCAGCAAAACGCTGATCAAGAGATCTGCATGTAGTGAAATGACTGAGGTTTTTTGCAGAAAGCTGAGTTTTCCACAATTGCAGCTTTGTGGAGAAAGCTTTCACACTTTCATATGCTGCTGTGATGAGCTGACCAGGACCCTGGAGCTTCAAGTTAAGGATATTTAGCTCCTGTGTTATGTCCACCAAGAATGCAAGGTCCATGACCCATTTAGGGTCATCAAATTCAGGAACATCCATTCTGCCATCTTCCATGAATCTCTTCACCTCTGCTCTTAAGTCAAAAAATCTCTTCAGGACATTCCCCCTGCTGAGCCAGCGCACCTCAGTAAAGTAAAGTACATCACCATATGTTGACTCAATTTCTTCTAAAAAGGTCCGAAACTGGCGGTGCTGTAAACTTCTTGACCTGATGTAATTGACACATTTCAGGACAACAGACATGACATGTTCATATTTCAAGCATTTGCTGCACAGCGCTTGTTGGTGTATAATGCAGTGAAGAGCAACTGCTGGATCTGCATTTTCCTCTTCTAACTTTATTTGTACCAGCGCAACCAGCCCGTTTTTTTTGCCTGTCATAGATGGGGCGCCATCAGTGGTAATGCCTACCAATCTGTTCCACGGCAAACCAGCGCGCTCAATCGCATCGCACAGCTGCTGAAATATATCGTTGGCTGTGGTACGTCCGTGCATTGGACACAAACTTAATAACTCCTCCGTCACTTCAAACTGTTCATTTATACCCCTGATGAAAATGGCAAGCTGCGCAGTGTCTGTTTTGTCTGTGCTTTCGTCAAGCGCCACAGAGTACGCAGTGAAAACTCTAGCTTTGCCACGCAAATGATCATAAATGTCACTGGACAACTCACTAATCCGCTCTGCCACTGTGTTTGTCGATAGAGCGAGATTGTTGAACAAGCTCTTTTTTTCTGGACATAGAATCTCAGCGACTTTTAACATACAATCCTTCATAAACGGTCCTTCAGTGAATGGCTTTCCTGCTTTGGCGATCAACTCACTCACCACATAACTTGCCTCAACTGCTGCATCAGCATCCTTTTTGGCTTTGCAGAAAAGGCTTTGCTGGGATGTTAGCTCTTTCTTCAACTTCATGGCTGTTTTTTCTCTCTCGTCTGCCTGGTACTTCTCGTATCGTTCTCCATGTTTAGTTGAATAATGACGCTTGAGATTATACTCCTTCAGCACGGCAACCTTTTCCGTAAATGGCCCGCGGGCCGGGAGTTTGAGACCCCTGCCCTAGAGTAATAGAAGAAGATGAAAATTTATATTTTGAAATTGAGGGGACGAAATATTTTATTGATACGGGGGCCGAGGTCTCAATTTCAGCTGAGCCATTAGACAAAACCGGTTCAGTTAATGTACAAACATATGATGGACAAGTAAAAAGGGAAAAAACAGGCGAAAGATATGGAATCACTATGATTGAGGGTTCGGAAAATTTATTGGCAGCAAAAGACCTGAAAAAGATTTTAAGATTAAAAGAGGTGAATTATGAGCAAGAATTGAAAAGAATAGAAAAAGACATTAAGGGTTCACAGTGGGCAGCGGAACAGTTAATGTCAGAATTGAGGAAAACACCCTATGGCAGAAGTAAAAATGACTGCGGGAAAGTAAGTGATAAATTTTCACACGTTATAGAGGGAGGGATCCGTAAACCCCAAAGACAATACCCGATTAATAAAAAAAGGAATACCTGAACTAAAACAAACAATACAAGAGCTAGAGGAGCAAGGAATTATAATGGAAGTAAAATGAGCTATTACCAATAGCCCGATACAATTAGTTCCTAAAGAAGTTAATTCTTTTAGATTGGTTAATAATTTTTGAGCTCTGAACCGTTTAACGAAGCCGGATAGGCGTTATTTAACTACAAGAGACACAGTAGAAAAAATAAAAGAGGGAAGATTTTTATCAAAAATCGATTGGCAAATGGGTTTTGGTCCATACCTCTAGCAGAGGAAAGTCAAGAAAGAACTGTAAAAGAAGTATTAAGGCGACTTGCGGATGCAGGGTTGAAACTAAATATAAAAAAGACCCAACTAATGACAAATATGGTTGAATTTTTGGGCTTTTGGATTTCCGCAGGAAATCGAGAGGTTACCCAGTCTATGAAAGACCGAGTAAGCCAACTCGAGACACCGAAAACAGTTAGACAGGTCCAGCAAACAATGGGATTAATGGGATACGTTCGAGACTTAATCCCTCGCTTTAGTCAGATGGCAAAACCCATCCATACAACCATAAAAGGTGGACGTTTAAATTGGACCAAAAAAGCAGAGGAAGCTTTGCAAGAAATGAAGGCAGCTATTTTGAATTCAGGACTGATGGAAGGAAGAAATGACGAAAAGGATTTAGAAGCGGATTTGGAAATAGATGATATAGATATAGATTTCGACCGGATAAAGGAATTGGAATAATTTGGTCCTATTGCCAAAACAATATTAGAAAATAATACGGGAAAACAAATACCATCACCAAGACTTGACATTCCGCGAAGGGGAGAGTGTGATGATATGAATGAAAATATGCGTTGCCAATTTGGAAAATTGGATGAAAACCGATGCTCAAATAAACTAATTTTAAAAGAAAGCAGAGTTCTTTGTGTGCCGATGGGCTTCTGGAGACAAGGCAACCTTGACGCAGCTGCCTTATCTTCTGGCAGGAAGCCAATAATGGAGGGGGAAACCTCTGTTTTGCCAGCACACAGACACATTTATATTTAAAGTTATAATAAATATGACCACAACCTCAGAACCACAAATTCTTGCATGTGCGGTCGATAAAGAATTGAAAATAAAGTAAATTAATAAAAGGTTCTGGAAGGGGAGGGGGTGGTCTAAACTCTTTATTATTATTATTATTATTATTATTATTTTTCCTTTCTCTTAGGAATGATAAAATTACAAGACGGAGACTAAAGAGAAGAATGGGCAAGGAAATTACAACAATGGAGAAAACCCTGTTTGCCCAGACCTTTTCTAGTGGTACTAGTCACAGGGCTTATGATTTTAACAGGAATTTGGCCTTTAATTAATTTCACTACGAAGTTGATTGTAGTGGATGAGATTACTGTGAGAGAAGTTTCAAACTGTACTATAGCAACCAAATTCTTTGAAGGCCCATGTGAACGGAAAACATTGGAAGAATGTAGCAAATGTGAAGAAATAGTAAAAAATTATACTGTGGGGGAAAATACCATAGTGAAATGCAGAGTAAGGACAAACCCATTCAACATTACACAAAAAAAGAAAAATTTGGATTTGGCACAAGATACAAGGAATAGAATATATTGGACCTGGAGAAAAACACGGATGTTACCAGGATCATCAAGAAGAAATTATAATGGAAAATAGAGAACCACCCGTTTAGGGGAAACTACTGAAGGAATTAGTCGATACTCAGAGTATCATACTCCAGAGGTTTGAGAACCCTTTACCAAATTAGCATTACAACAAATAAATTTTGGGAGGACTGTCCAGAGAAGGATTTAAATAAATGTGACGGAACTCAATACAATTTGGAGTTACACACCCATTGGAGATGGAGGGCTTAAGATGCTAATAGGACAATGATTAAGAACCAAAACTGTGTAGAAAGAGCAAAAGTATAATATGCCCATGTGAATATACTTCTAAAAAATGGAATTGTGGGGAAAATTATATGGCTAGGGCAGGCATGACTTGGGAAAAAGAAAATAAAAATAAACATTGGTTGGCTTTTTGGAGAAACGCAAAAGGTCAAAAGTGGCAAGGCTTACGAATAGCAATTATGGAAAGAAATAGTGAATTGTGGAAAAATGTGATTACTGAAAACGGAACTGAGACTGATCAAATGATATTACAATTCCGATTGTGGGATTTATTTGTTGATATTGGCAGTGGCGTCATGCCCATTCAAAGTGAGGGGGCACGTGCCCCCTCAGATTTTTCCTCCCTGATAATTTTTTTTTAATTCTTTTAAAATTTCTTTTCATTTTCCCTGATTCCTTTATTCCTATTATGCTAGCTCCATAATTACCAGAGCCTATAACGACCCAAATATATTCTTTTTCTTGATGTGTAATAATAAATCGGTCAGCATTAGCCCGCCAGTTTTTCCTAATATGGTGTCTGTGTATCAAATCTACGCGCGTAGAGCTTTACGCTTTAGAATCTTTGCTGTGTATGTTCCGGCGGTACAAGCAGCTCGCACGTTGAACTGGCAATGTTTTACGAGTGGTAAGTTGGAAATGCAACAAATCGGCATTGAATTAGTTATCGGATGATATTAAAAGGTAGTGGGATTATTTATGGTTGACCTGGACATTTTAACTTGATCAAAAGTTATGGAATTGATATTAGCTGCGAATTCAGAGCATTAACAATGTTATGTCAGTGTAACGTTATCAATAGCTAGCCTAAATAAGTTGCCTTATCTTCTCTGAGAAGCGTTCTGGACATTCAGCTGACATAAACATGACATCCATGTCCTAACAGCTAGGATAATAATCACACAACGCGCATAACACGTCCAATTCGCGAACTAATGACTCATTTGAACCGATTCATTTTAATGAATGGTTAAAACAACTGATTTTTCCAACAGTGAACTCGGGAGACGTCTGAATCGGTGTATAACTAATCAGTAACACTTTACAATAATGTTCTATTTATTCCTTGAATTACATAAAAAGTACAGTTTGCTTAGGCTACTCAAGCGATTTAAAAAAAAAAAAGCACATGACTACATTTTTCCACACAATGCTATCAAGAATCAATAAGAGAATCGTTAAAGAATCTGATTCTGATTCTAAAGAATCGGAGCGATAAACAGAACGTCATTGGCATTATTATTGTTAAAATCTTATCAATTCCATCCATATGGTAAGACAGTAAAATTATAATCAATGTTAAAGAACATACATGTTTTTTAATAGTTTTTTTGAGTTAAAAGATTAAAACATTTTGCTAACATGAGGTCTTTGTGTCACTGTCAGTCTTTTTACATCAGTGCAAAACTAGGGTACGCAGATTAAGACCACTATTCACCAGCATGCACTGATTTATCCCATGGCATGTAGAAAAGAAAAAAAAAGGTGCGACAAAATCATATGCTGGTGCGATCAACTGAGAAAGTTGGTAGCACCAGTGCAACCAGTGGAAAAGTTGGTCTGGAGCCCTGGTAATGCAGTAATACAAAATATATTATTATCATTGGTAAAAGAGTATGGCAGTAAGAATGACCACTAACACATGTTAAAATGAGCAGAACACTGCATTTTATTTGGTACCTACAGGTTATGATGCAGAGAAATATTTTGTCATTTTTTCAAAAGAAAAGGCCAGAAAGTCACATCCCTAGTGTATCCTGTCAAGAAACTGAGAGGGTAGGTAAGTAATTTGTGGGATTTAGTGATAATTCATATTTAGTGGTAAGGGAAGAATATTTGATGAATGAAAAAAGTCAGCATTTATTAGTAGCCTATATGTAAGAAGCTTTATGATTTCATTTCAGATTTTCAGTCAGACAGCCAAGGCTGTGAGGATTCCACTCAGATTTTGAGTGTCACACAAAGCCATGAGATAGAAGGTGATTATGTCAGGGGGAAAGTCAAGGCTGTTCTTTGTTACAATTTGATAAATAATATAAACATTGTATTAGATATCAAATTATTAAGCATTGTCTACTTTGCAGAAGCAGATGCTGATTTTGTCATCCCAGATGAGCGTTTGGCAAGGGACAGTTACATAAGGAAAGGGCCTATTCGCAGGGAGGAAGACAGATATCCAAAAACTTTACATGGAAGCAAACTCAGAAGTTTCAGCAAGTCATGGTTTGAGAAGTATCAGTGGTTAGAATACCACAAAACAAATGATGCTGCTTTTTGTTTTCCTTGTCGAGTTTTTGGACACAGTACATACCATGACAAGTTTTCTGCTGAGGGGTTTAGGGATTGGAAGACTGCTTTGGAGACAGGGAAAGGCTTTGATCGACATAATGCAAGCCAACTACACAAAGACAACTTTCAAAAGTGGCAGATGTACTTGATAAATGATCCAGTTGATGCACAGCTGTCAGTACAAAGAGCAAACCAAATTAAGCTTAAAACAAAAGAAAGGCAGAACAGATTCCAGACTGTCCTCAGACTTGCAGACATAGCATCAACACTCGCCAGATTGAGATTGCCTTTTCGAGGCCATGATGAATCTGAAATATCAAAAAACAAAGGTGTTTTCCAAGAAATAACAGGATTAGTG